CACCGACGCTACTGTGAGAACTAGGCTAAATGATATTATTAATCATATTAATGCTAAATAGCCTAACATTATATAAACAGGAACTAATTTTTGAGTAACTCAGCTGAGAGTAGACATTAATTAGCAAAATTGGGAGGATGTTTAAAAAGCAGTTGTGTGATTTAGGAGCGCGAGTCCCGTTGACTTTCAGGAGGACTTGTGCTACTAAAGAACTGGAGTTTTGGAAAATCCCACTCGGTCATTTATTGTGGGGACGTTTACATGTTCATCCGGTAAATCGAGGTAGGTTTCATTAACTGGGGTTAATGAAATTAGTGGAATGTAAATGCTTTGTTTATTTTATTTTTTTAATTACAGTAACGAAAAGGAACAAACCTGAGCATGGGAAGGATAATAGTAGGTTTTTTAATCAATCCCTGAGGTTTTTTGGGGGGCGGGTTTCCCCCCCTAATTCTACTCTTATAGCCTAGGTAAGGCAGCCATCACAGGCCATAAAGTTGGGAGTTAGAGTGACTTAAATTTTCCTGAAATGATGTGCATTTTTTTTAATACAAACGACTGTCATTTGCAAAGAGGTACTTCATTTTACCTAAAGTGCTTTTCTGTCTAGAGGGAACGCTTAATTGTAGTCACAAATCACCTCAAATGCTTTCATAGAAGGATAAAACAAGTTAAATTTGTATATCACTCTGCAAGTGCAGGTTCTGAATTAGATATGAGATGCAGATTTCTGTTCTTTCTTTTCTCTCTCCAGGAATTTCATCCTAAGCAGATGTTTTACAAAAGTGTATATTTGTATAATGGCCATTTAGTGTCAATGGGATTTTGGACTGTTAGCAGGGGGTGCACGCAGTGACCCGGCATCCAGAATCTGATCCTGTGCTTTGCTTTGCCTTTTGATTCGGAGAAAGCGTCTTAACATCTTACAAGAGGAAGTCGACGGTGGTTATGTTAAATAAGGGTAATTACTGAGTGTTATCTATCCTGGATGTGTCCATGTGACTTACTCTCCCACACTGGGAGAGTACACCCCACAGGGCATTAACCTTTATGGGTTTTTCTTCCGTTTTCATGTGCTCGTGAGAGATGATTTTAAATGAGGTTGTTGATACAGTTTCTGAATCCCCTGCAAATTGCATCTGAATGGCTCTTTTTCTAGTAGAATCATCCAAGCAAACGGAATATGAATCAAAGCCGTTCCTCCAAGGCTTCATCCCTCCTTTATGGCTCTGTCTTACAGCAAACCGTATCTCCAATTTCACTCTTTGGAGAATAGAAAAGGAAAACAGTACTTGTTGAAAGTATGTCGCTGAGCCGTGATTTCTTATTGATTTATTTGCTGGTTTGGATTTATGGCCATGGACCGGATTGTAGAGGGCTAGGTGTACTGCCGTGCATGCAGGTATCCCATACTGTCTCTTATTCCAGTAGGTAGTTTGAAATCAGGCAGAAGGCATGGCAGGCACCTTGTTCAGAAAGGTATAAATTAATTATTTTCTATCTAGTAGCCCTGCTTGCTGCAAGTCCATTAACAGCATTTGACAAATTAGACTGTTGCCTATGAAGGCTTATGCCTTGGTCTGTAAGGCGCCACCTTGCCCTGCCCGCATTAAGTTTTCAACAATTCAGTTTTTTAAAACACTTTTGCTTTCTGTCATGGGGTTTCTGGCCCACTCCGTATCATTTACTCTGCCTGCGCTGATACAGATATAATAAATGATACCTAGCCTGTGCAGCTAGACCAATCTGCTTCCTACTGTTCTGCGAGATGTCTGAG